ACTGCCTCCCTTGCCTAGAACCCCATGCCTCCTTCCCCAGCCTCAAACCTCACGTCCTTCCTTCCACCATTTAAACTGTAGGCCACAAACTGGTGGAAAAGCACAGGGAGCCGACCACCATCTGCCAAGTATGCTACATGCCTAATGCTTTCCACGCATCATCTCATTTAATCCTCAGCACCCACGCAAGGAAAATGCTAACTTCCTTTGGAAGTTGAAGAAACAGAGACTGAGGGATGCAAAGTAGTCGAATGGTGACCAGTGGGACCGAGGCCGGAATCCAGTTTGGATCTAAGGAGACTTTCATTTTGTTTTGCTTTGATTTGATTTGCTCTGTTTTGAGACAGAGTGTCACTCTGTGGCCCAGGCTGGAGAGTCGTGGTGCAAACTCAGTTCACCACAACCTCCAGCTCCCAGGCTCAAGCGATGCTCATGCCTCAGCCCCCTGAGTAGCTGGGATTACTGGTGTGCACCACCACGCCCAGCTTTGTTCTTGTGGTTGTTGCTGTAATTTTAGTAGAGATAAGGTTTTGCCATGTTGGCCAGGCTGATCTCAAACTCCTGATCTTAAGTGATTCTCCTGCCTCAGCCTCCCAAAGTGCTGGGATCACAGGTGTGAGCCACTGCACCCAGCATAAAGAGCCCCTCACACCACTGTCTCTTGCCCTGTGACTGGGGGGCTCCATGCCTGGAGCTGGGATGATGATGTCCAGACCTAAGAGGAGCCCAGGGCTACCCGCTTCTAAAAGTCAGAGCGCAGGAAGCAAGAAACGGTCACAGGACTGCCCTGGAGGGTGTGGGGTCACCTGCCCCCAGGGTGGAGCTGCCTGTGGCCTTGCACCTCCCCTCCCCAGAGGCCGGTGCCTGCCTCCCAGCCCTCCTGGATGGGGCAGGGGTTACCGTCTCCTGTTCGCCAAGCTTCTCCTGCAGCTCCTTTCCTTCCTGCTCCAAATGCAGTGCGCTCCTGTTCTCGTTCTTCTGGACAGAGAGAAGCAATCAGCGGCCACCCACTGCAGCTGCAGACCCCAGAACTTGGTGTCTGCCTCCCATGGCACCGGGAAGGGTGGAGGCAGGTTAGACAAATTGTCTCCTTTCTCCCACAGCCATCAGAGCAGGGCTGTGCTCACAGGTGCCTTTAGAAGCCTCATTTCATACACTCCCCCATTTTACAGGTGGGAAAACAAAGCTCCGGAGGGCTGGGGAGGAGAGCAGGGTCCCCAGGTGGGCAACACATCAGCTCCTCCTCCTGCTCCTGGAGCCCCTCCTGCTCAAGAAGCCTCTGCTCCTGTTCTCTCAGCCTCACCTCCTGCTCCTGGAGCCGCATTTTCGCCTCCTGCAGTCTCTCCTGTTCCCGCAGCTCGTCTCTCAGGTACTTGGTTTCAGTTTTTAGGTTTTTCTCCAAGTCAGAGTGCCCTGCTGGGGGCTTCGGGATTGGGGGTTCAGCTGAGAAAGGAAGCAGACAATAAGGGCCTCTGGATTCTCAAAACAAAAAACCCTTCTTGGTGCACAGCTTCTCTCAGGCTCCCCAAACCTGGCCTCACTGCTAATGATTCCTCGCACCCAAATGGTAGCCAGTCTTCCAAGCCACTTTCAGATAGAGAGCACTGTGGGTGGCTGGCAACAGGCACTCCTCCCTCTGCTGATGGGGACACTGAGGCTCATGGAGATTACAAGACTTGCTGTCTCCTGGCACAGACCTCTTTCCCTCTGCCTCAAAGCCCTTCCAGCCACCCACCTCCCTGGGGCACTCTGAGCCACCCCCACAGCCCTCTGATGCCAGTCCTGCTCCCTGGTCATGCCAGCCCCATCTTACCCAGATGGTTTTGTAGGTGGGCAAGGCTCCCCTTCAGCTCCTCGATTTTAATTGCGTTCTGCCTTTTCTCCATTTTGAACATTTCAATCTGCCCAAAGCACAGGGGGAAAGGGCCCTGGAGAGAGGGGCTGGTGGCTGGACAGGCTACCATCTCCCTCTCCACCCCCAGCTCCGCAAAGCCCAGTCCCGTGACCACCCCTGGCTGGACTATTCTCATTTTACAGATCCCCAGGGAGATCCAGTGAGTCATCTAAGGTGGGGGCTGAAGGGTCAGCTCTCACTTCTCCTGCCATTTTCAGCAATTGCTGCTGCCACCGCGCCCTCTCTGTTTTGAGCTGTTGAGCGTATGCGTCTCTTTCTAGCTGAGCTTTCTTAAGACACCCCGTCACCTGCAAGAATGGACCCAGAAGTTAGGAAGTGCTGTCACTGGTCCTCACCTGCTCCTGGCCACCTGAGATCATCTTCCTTCCACATCCCTCCCTCTGCAAAGTCTCACCTCTGCCACCTGTGCTCTTAGCAGTTCCCACTCCTGTAGAAACTGCTGTAACTGCTGCTCAAGGACTGCTCCACAGCGGCTCAAGGGCTGGAGGGTGGAGAGGGAGAAGCTTCAATCTGGAGAGCCTGGGCCATTCCACACAGTGCCCCTTAAAAGGGCTAGGGCTGGGCTTAATGCACAACTCAGACAGTAAAGATTAAGGCATTTCCAATCCTGTGGTCTGGATTTTAAAAGAACTCAGTAAAGTTGGAAGGCACGGGGAAAGAGGTCACCTTTATGGCTGGCTAACAGAGGCCCAGAGAGATCAGATCATAGTCTATGTTATTCCTGTTGTTACTACCGCTGTTGGAACCTTTATTGAGTGCATCACCAGGTAGTGTGCTAACAATCCCATTTGACCTCACAGCCACCATGTGAAGCAGTTACTACGATTACCTCTATTGTGTAGATGGAAAACATGGAGCATTAGAGGTTAGGTGGTTGCCTAAGATCACTTAGACAGAGCTGGGATTTGAACAACCAGGCCCATTGGATCCTTAAGTCCATTTTTTTTCCTGCTGGGGGTAAGGGCACAGGCAGGAAGGGGGAAATGAATCTTTTGTTCACTTTTTGAAAGGATGATACATTCGCATAGTCCAAAACTCAGAAGGTACAGAAGGGAAGTTATCTCCCAGCCACCTGTGCTTTCTCCTGAGTTTTTTACAAATCCTTGCAGACAAATCCTATGATAATATACATCCTTAAAAATCTTATGATAATATACATATGATAATATGTATATTATCATAGTATATACACACACACACACACACGTTTCCTCTCTCTACACAAATGGTAACATACTAAAGCTACTCTGCTCTACCTTCACATTCCAAGTACTCAGTCCCCACCTAGGACTTGGCCAAGACCACAGCCAGGTAAGGGCAGGGCAGGCATTTGGCCTCTGAGCTCTGCGTCCAGTGCTGGCTCCCCATAGCGCTCTTCAACTCACCCACAGCAGCCCCAAGGGGAAACTGGAGCCCAGGATTGGCAGCGTGGAATCAGGGGGCCCCACTGGACTCTTACCAATAAATCAATGGTGTTATTCAGTTCACTGGCTGTGACGGAGCTCGAGTCCAGGGCTATTTGTAGTTGGTGTGCACTCTGAGGCACCTGCAGAGAGGAGGAGTTGGGGGAGGATTGGGGGAGAGGTAGAGAGAATGATCATTAATGTTGGGGTGTGTGGGGGCTGTCTCGGCTGGCAGAGGGGCACCCAGCCACCACTGTGGGAGGAGGGTGGAGGGCTGGCCTGCAGGGCCACTGTACCTCAGCTCAGGACCTCTTACCTCTGGATCTTTCATGGTGGCACATGGCGCAGGGCCCTCCTTGGGACCACCTGCTGCTGACTACAAGAGATGAGAGTGCACATGGAGATGTTCTGTCCCCTCAGTGTCCAAGCCTCTGACTTCCTTTCCTCCCCGTCAGCTGGCAGCACTTCCTGTTCTGCCTCTCAGACCGTTTGTCCCATAACTCCTCTGTGCCAGCTCCTCTCACGGTGCTTATCTCCCACCATCCCACCCTGGGGCCCTTTCAGTGACTCTTAAAGGGACAGCCTGACAGCAAAAGGCTGTTCTCATTGGGCTGGCTTCCCCTTGAGACTGGGGATGAGGAAAACCAAACAGCAAGGACCCTTTCCTGGGTGTCCTGGGTGTTTACAGCAGGCCATGTACTAGGGATTAACAAAAAAACAACAGCAATAAGGAATCTCATTTCACCCTCACAAATGGAAGTCAGACAATACCACCTCTATTTTACAGATGAGAAAGGAGAGGCCCAAAAGCTCAAGGAATTGCCCTAAGTCATATCCCTAGCAGATGGAGAGGCAGGATTCAAACCCAGAATTCCTAACCAGTACCCAGAAGTTCTTCCACAATCTTAACAATTCCCCTCTACTGCCCCTTGGGCCCCTTTTCCCCAGAAGCCTGGCGGGCCAAGACTCACATGGCATGGTGACTGGCAGCCATCAGAAGTGCCTGTCTCAGGGCTATTGTTGTTTCTTTTCTTTCTGCGTCTCACTCGTGTTGGAACAGCAGGGCTGTTTCTTTGTTGAAATTCTTTTAACTGTGAGAAATAGAGCAGTAATACCCATGAGAACTACAAACCCCTACAGTCACAACCTACATTACAGTTTTTACAAAATACTGTTACACAACATCTGATTTAATGCCACCAACAACTCTATAAGGTGTTGTCACAATCACTAAGTGACCGAGAGAGACTGATATCATAGCAAAAACAAAAAGAAAAAAAGAAAAATAAGAAAAAGCAATACTAGACCTTAAACTCATTCCTCTGACTCCAAGCTCTGGGGTTTTGCCACAAATCAGCAACTGCCAGAGACCAGAACCACAGGAAGAGGTAGAAAAGTCAACATGAAGTAGACAGGAACTGTACGCCATGTGGTTTAGAGTCATACAGCCTCACACGACTGTTAGTGTTAAGAAGAGCACCAGCACCTCTCACACTTTTATATCAGTGTGTCCTCATGGCAGAAGGCAGCCTTTCTGTTAAATCTGGGAATTCATCAGAAAGAGGACAACCCAAGTCTCATTTCAGAGACAAGTCTGGTATACTCTTAGAAACCGATGTGACTGTCATCCCTAAGTACATTAATGTTTTTGCTCTCTCAAGAGACTCAAGGGAAACTGATGCTTCAGAAAGATGTCCCATGTTTATCCCGTGGCATTCACAGTAGCCCAGGTTGAGATGATATGAGGGAGATTCAAGCTGTCAGTTTCAATTTCCCAAGATCTGTTCCACAGAAGATGAGCAGATCTCACTCCAGAGGCCACTGACTGAAGAGCAGTCTGGTCCCAGAACCATGGAGAATTTGAAGATGAGGTGGAGAACTCAGAAAGAAACATGAAAGTCTCTCTGGAGAGTAGAAGCCTGAGGGAAAACAAAACCAAACCCATTCTCCCACTGCCACCCAGAGACACTGTCAATGTTTTGAGCTCATGGAGGAAGTGTAGGCTTTGTCTACACTTTTCAATGTCTATGTCAATGTCAATGTCTATGTTAAGGGAGTGGGGCAGCCTGAAACCTCTTGCTCCTAGGTCCCAAAGTCCCCATTCCCCTTCCAGCTGGAAATTTGTGCAGGGACCAGAGGAACCAGAAATGGGATGAGAATGCTTAGGGGACTGGGTCCTAAGATCGAAGGCTGGCCTTGTAGCAGTGTGACATCACTACATTCCACTCCTCCTGGGGGAGGAGACCATATCAAGGAGATGCCTGAGTCACTGCTCCATGATCGGGGAGGTGGATGAAGGGCTGGGACCCAGGTCCTTGGAGACGCCAGCCCAAAGAGCACAGGGAAGTCGCACTGGGGGTGCAGAAGGGGAGGGCAGAGTCTGCAGCAGGGAGCCCCAGGAGTCACCACCCCAAAGTCACCCAGAAATGACTGGTGAGCGTGGGGGCTGGGAGACCCAGGTCCTTAGAGACATGAGCCCACAGGGCCCAGGGAGTTCAGACATGGGGCAGTAAAAGGTGAGGCCCAAGTAGGGAGCAGGGAGCCTCAGGGGTTACACATTCAAAGTCACCCTGGGGTGATTGGCAAGGGTAGGGGCTGGGCTCATTGCTAAAGGGGTGGGGCTGACTGAGAAGATGTTGGTAGGGAGAGCACAGAGACACCGGTGGTGGGGGCCCACCCAGTCTGGTGTGTCTCAGAAGTGTTATGGACTCTGGCAGCGGTCTTGCCATTGGAGGGGTTCTGTGTACGTTACCTTTTTCCTAGCCGAGGTTAATTTCATCTTGCGAATTTCTTCTGACATCGCCATGGTGGGTGGGGGAGGTTGGTGGGGTTGGGGAGGGAGGTGGGGTTGGGGCCACATCAGCACAATTCAAGGGAGCACTGGTAAGCAGC